TCTTTCACTGCGGCCACTTAGTGCTCGAAATTTTTCTCTGACCTCTAGACTGCTGGGGACGAGAGTACCTCGTTTCGCTGCGAAGGGAGATCGTTGAACGTCCTTTGCGAAACGCTCCGTTTACCTTCGTTCGGGTAAGGGTGGCCGTGTGACACGGACCGCGTCTTCGTTGTCGTAAGGACGAGGGAGTTAAACGGTCTTCGCGGGTGCCCGTGTGACAGGGGTATTAGACTCCATGACCCGTCTGGCCGGCTGACTCATTGGGTGTTAATAATATCTGGCGTTTTACATCTCAAAATCATGACATGATTATGAGAGACGCCGTAGTGGAGGGCTTGGGAAATTTAAGACCATCTGGTGTTCTTTTACATGCACCAACATCGCACAGTAAACGTGCCTCTACCATTTCACATCCATCGAACTGCAACCGCCATGGCCGGGATCGAACCCGTGATCTGGGTCAGCAGTCAAGCACCGTAGCCACTGTTGCACCAAGGCGCACCTCTCAGAGTACAGCTTTCCTGTGACCTATAAGAGTGGACGATGTCACACAGATGCCGACTGCCTATACCACCTTCCTTTAGAGCATACCAATGCTGATGATGATGACTAATGACCATTTAGTTTCCGTCTCGTTCGACTTTCTAAATATCAGCAGCTTCAAACACGAGCAATAGCGAGAACCTACCATAAAACTCAAGCTGGAAGCTGTGAATAACTGCCCCAGAGAGCATTTCACTATTTATAATGGCTTGCTTTACCAAAAAAAAAAAAAAAACTACTTAGCCAACGGCCTCCTGTTGCTTCTAGTGGTGTTGGAAAGCTTGCGCCCGGTCATCCTTCGTTCTATGCATGATAACATAACATCTGGTCATCTCTGTTTCACACGTACGCTACGCCAACCACAAGAGAAGTTCTACAGGCCAAAAACCTGGAAGACTACGAAGCAGTAGGTAGCCAGCTGCGCTATATGTCAGTGCCATAAGCAAACCACAACTGCTCCGGCAGGTTATATGCAGCCAATTTTACCACCGCCATCTCCTTTTGAAAAAGTCTGCACCAACTTGCTCAGACCCCTTCCTAAGGCCCCATCTGGCGACCGATATGTTATAGTGTGCGTGAATTACTTAACTCGATTTTGAAGGCAGATGCACTGACATTGGCCTCAGCGGCTGCTGTCTCCTTTTTTCTGCTACAACGGGTCACATTGCGTCACGGCGCTCCACGGGTCGTCGTTAGTGACCATGGATGGCAATTTATCACCGATGTTGAAGAAATTTTACCCCTTTGTGGCTTTTCTTATTGCCACTGCACCCCTTACCATTCACAAGACAACAATTTGACCCCAAGATCAAATTGCACTCTTAAAAATATGCTATCGGTGTACATTGATGCTCACCACAAGAACTGGGACACCGTTTTGCTATTTGTCACATGTATATTTTCACCAAGCATAAAGTTACTGGATGTTTACCTTTCTTTCTGCTTTATGCATGAAATCCTTAAAGTTTTCTGATATTCTACTACCTTTCTCGCACCAGAAAGGTCTTTCCATCACTCAGATATTGCATTGTGCAGAAGAAGCACGTCAACTAGCACACCTTGGAAGACTGTTCTCGCAAAAACAAAGCAAGAGTTGCTACGATGCCAAGCATATCCCTGCGAGTTTTGCTCTCGGTGACTACGTTTGGCTGTGGACTCTTGTTGGAAGTATAGGATTGTACCAGAAGTTTCTTGCAAACTATTCCGGGCTGTTCATGATAGTCGCTCGTCTCGGTCACATGAACTACGTCGTCGCCCGAGTGACAGCCAATAACCGTGTTTATGTCGCCTCATACGGTATCATCATAAGCACACATAACTCGGCGAGCTTCATCCGGCCCCGGTAAAAATGCAACAGAGATGTGCACGCATATGGGACACAGAAGAAGAGTAATGGAGTTCACGCTTCGACTGTGTGCTTGGGTGAACTGGACTGAGCTTGCCCCGCAATTACGCTGCTGCTTTTCCATGCCATTTCATCTCATCTGTGCATTTCCTTGCAAAAATATAATCGTGTTTGCCATTTTACATGCCAAATTTTGATACCATTACGGGGCAGACTGTAGTGGAAGGCTCTGGAAATGTCAACCGATTTGTAATTACATTCAAGTATACTAGTATTTCACCTCCACAAAACTAACATCTGAATTGACGAGCTTGTAAGGTGCAGTATTATTGTGCTTAGACAGTGGACAAAACACATCTTCTTAACAACCTTGATTAAAGGGATCCAGCAACATTCGAAGAAGCCATCAAATGGCTTTATTAAAGGGGCCCAGCGACACTTTTGGGACAGCCTTATTTAGAGCCGCAACACATATAGCGATGGTTACAGAGATGAATGCAACAAGATTTATGGAAATTGGTGCACGGAAAGTAAATTTACGAGTCCTCAAAGTTCAAAACTCGAGCAGATGACGACGAGAAACGTTCGCTTTCGCATTTTACTCGCCTGCTGACGTCAAAGATCGCTTCCAATCCCTGTGCGCGTCTCTTAAAAACATACCAGAAATGTCACCTCATGGTGGCCTTCACACAATACCTCGCTACAACTCTCTTTGACGGCATCGTAAGCAAGGTTACTACAAACCACGTGCATCAGGTAGCAGACGCTCCCACGGTCAAACTGTGTAAGATACACAATACGCTTTCGGCGGGGTCACTTCTCGGCTTGCTTGCAAGACTCATTTCACGGCAACGCTGGTGCCCACCGCCTGTCGCATTTTTACCTTTAACTGCTGGCGTACCCTAACCTTGTTCGCAGGCTATGGTTCTGAAAATACGTTATTTAGAAATAGGGATGATTTCTTACTGAGAAGTGTAAAAAATTTTTTTGCTTTTTTAGCATTCACTCGTATAGCCTAGCTACCACCATATGAATATGGCACGCTATTTGTCACGTCAAGCCAATAAAAGGAATGGTCCTTGTTGACACGTCACATGACATGACGTCACTTCTTATAACAAAAATAGCCGATGTCCCTCGCCGTAGTCTGAAATCAGGGTAGTTTATCCCGTCAATCAAAATTATAACCGCGTCGATTTCGGCATAGCCATTTGTGCAAGGATATCGACGCATTCGACAGCAACAGAAGAAGCGACATAAAATACATGCTCAAATAGTGCAGCAGGGGCCCTTTAAAGGACTTTTTTGCCTCATGAATCAACTGCCGCAAAAGCTTTTGGAATCTGTTAAGTACGAGCAGAGCTGCAGACCTTTGTCACACACTCTAACCGCTTCCTCTTTTCTCTCATACTGATGAACACACTGGGAGCTAAGCAGGGAGGGATGCCATAAGGGAAAGAAGTCAAGTCACGTGTGCCTCGTGACTTTGAGCACTTTTTTTTTTTTAAACACACAGCTTGAATTTGGATTTATAGCATCCATTGTTGAAAGAAGAGAGAACAATTTCTAGCTGGCTTTAAAAAATAATTGTAAATATCAGGCCCCGTACAGCATTATACCAGATGTTGCTCGCATGCTCTCTGGAGCCTCAACTACCCATCAGCAGCATTTTCTGACCACACTGAAGAGTACTGCTATGTCGCTTTAAACCATCAGAAATCAGGTGGTACAGAAGTATTGTTTTTATGCCATAGTTGCTCTCTAAACTGTGCCAAATGTGAAAAACAGTGACACACAGCAAAAGGCAGCATGCTTTAGCTGCTTTTACAGTGCCAAAAAATCTGCAGAGAAGCAACATGACAAAGCTTTTTTTTTTTAACTGGGCCCCTCAACCAGGAGAGTGCAGGACCACACATATTCTTATCAGGAAGAAACTACTAAAACCCAGCTGTTCAGGTTGAGGGCATGTGTACGAACACAGCAGAAAGAATGCCGCTGAATTGTGTACCCAAACAACTGTTTTCACGGCATCACGATTTTTCATGTGAACAGCAAGAAAACGTATTTTGGGACGTTAAACCCCACATATCAATCAATCACCAAGAAAGAATAGAGTGAAAATGCCTAGCCCTAAAAACCTGAGGGAAACAAGTTTCACAAAGAACAGCAGCATCATCAGCCTGACTACGTCCACTGCAGGACAAAGGCCTCTCCCATGTTCCGCCAGTTAACCCGGTCCTGTGCTTGCTGCTTCCAATTTATACCCGCAAACTTCTTAATCTCATCTGCCCACCTAACCTTCTGTCTCCCCCTAACCCGCTTCCCTTCTCTGGGAATCCAGTCAGTTACCCTTAATGACCAGCGGTTATCCTGTCTACGCGCTACATGCCCTGCCCATGTCCATTTCTTCTTCTTGATTTCAGCTATGATATCCTTAACCCCCGTTTGTTCCCTAATCCACTCTGCTCTCTTCTTGTCTCTTAAGGTTACACCTACCATTTTTCTTTCCATTGCTCGCTGCGTCGTCCTCAATTTAAGCTGAACCCTCTTTGTAAGTCTCCAGGTTTCTGCTCCGTAGCTAAGTACCGGCAAGATACAGCTGTTATATACCTTCCTCTTGAGGGATAGTGGCAATCTACCTGTCATAATTGCCAGGTAGATTGCCACTATACCTCCCACATGATTACGTCAAAGAACAGCATAACGCTGGTCAAAGGAGTCAGTTTCAATGCCACTGAACAGCGATTCCAACATGCCTAGAAGAAAGGTAGGAAAATGTCATGCCATTTCTCACAGCACTAAGATGCATTTTTTTTCAACATCATTAAAAATATCACTATAACTCTTTGGTAACTTATAGCAGAGTGTTGAACCCCCAAATGGCATTGTTTAAAAAAAATGTTCATTACTGTTACTTATACCCCTTCCTGAAGTTCTTGTCTCATGTATAGAAGTACCAGAAAGAGAAAGGCAGCACAAAATTAACCATACTGAAATGCAGCATATAAAGGTGGTGTGAGGCATTTGAAGAAAAATTGGTGTTTGGTAGTGTCCCTGTTCCTTCGAACAGGAACACTACTATGCAGCACAGTTGGTAGAAGACAAAACTCACCCTGTTAGTGCTTGGCATGAATGACAATGCCTCAACCTCAATGTTGAGCTGCCCGCCAACCAGGAAGCCAAACGTGGTAACACTGAAGTACCGCCGCTGCTCGCCCTGCATGGAAATTTTACTTGTACCACATTTGCAAAGGTCACTGAAAAAAAAAAAGTTTTCTCGTTTCACGAAGTAAGCTAAGCAGCGCTTCAAAGGTGCACAATGATTGATTGATATGTGGGGTTTAAGATCCCAAAAGCACCATATGATTATGAGAGACGCCGTAGTGGAGGGCTCCGGAAATTTCTACCACTTGGGGTTCTTTAACGTGCACCTAATCTGAGCAAACGGGCCTACAACACTTCTGCCTCCATCGGAAATGCAGCCGCCGCAGCCGGGATTCGAACCCACAATGTACGGATCAGTAGCCGAGTACCTTAGCCACTAGACCACCGCGACGGGGCTCAAAGGCGCACAAGCCTTTCATATTGCCACGTTCCATTTCTCAAGTTTTGTTATCGCCCCAAAACACTACACAATGCTCAGCACAAAACGCACGTGCAGTTTTCGAGAAGCTTCCGGACTTTAGTAGATCATTTCGATAAGATCACGCCCACTCTGCGAACTGTACAGATTATTCTGGAACCTATGCCACAGCCAGCGATAACGCTAGAACGTTCGATGGAAGAGTATAAATGCCGACGCGCTTCGCCGCTTGTCACTTGTTCATCGACGGCCGACGCTCCGTTCGCCGCTATATGTCTGCTACTGTAATCGGACTTTCCGTTTACCGGGCACAGGTTCACCCAAATAAACAGTTAAATTCCAATGCAAAGTCTCCTGTCTTCGGCCACATCACGACCCCGTGACATCTGGTGGAGGTGCTGCTTCGTTCATGTACCGCACGCCCCCGTCAAGCCGTGAACCCAGCCCACGTCGCGGAGAAGACACCGACGCCAACCAAGAGCAGCGAACAAGGCGCCGACAGCAGGGTCTCCCACCGGAGTACGGGCTTCTACAAGAAAAGGCGCGGAAGACCAAGGCCATGACCTCAACTGCAGCGACAATGACAACCGGAGCGTCCCAGCCCGCAATAGTCATTGATCAACCCAGGGAACCACCAACGTTCCATGGGTCATCGTTTGAAGACCCGGAAACCTGGCTAGAAACATACGACCGTGTGGCCGCCCTCAACTACTGGGACAACGAAGAAAAGCTCCGTCGTGTGTACTTCTACCTGGAAGACACCGCAAGGACCTGGCTAGAGAATCGGGAGTCCCCGCTCCGAACGTGGGATGTCTTCTGCGACGCATTTCTGCAAACGTTCGCGAGCGTCGCTCGCAAAGAGAGGGCCGCTGCTCTACTAGAGACCCGGGTTCAGCTACCAAATGAAAAGGTTGAAATTTTCACAGAGGAGATGACCCGCCTATTCCGTCACGCTGACCCAGTCATGCCTGAGAAGAAGAAAGTTCGTTTCCTCATGCGAGGAGTCAAACAGGAGCTCTTCGCGGGACTAATGAGGAATCAACTGAACACCGTCCAAGAATTTGTATCCGAGGCGACCACCATCGAAAAAACCCTGGACATGCGCACCAGACAGTATAACCGTCGCCTGACTCCAGAATGTGCTGCTGCTCAAGCCAGTGACTCCGAAGAGCTGCGAGAAACGATCCGAGCGATCGTGCAGGAAGAGCTGAGCAAACTGTTGCCTTTGGCGCAGCCTCAAGTGGATTCGATCGCCGACATTGTTCGAGAAGAAGTTCGGCAATCGCTTCGAATTCCCCAAACACCGCTGCCCGAGCAAGAAACTATGAGCTACGCCGCTGCAGTGCGCCACAACGCTCCTCCCCGTCCACGCCAAAACGCCGCCCCGTCGCACTTCCGTCGCCAGACGCCACCGCCGCCACCACCCCCCACCGACGTTCTACCGTTCCCCAGCAGGCCAGCGCAGTGCGCCGAGGAAAACGGACATTTGGCGTGCACCTGACAACCGCCCGCTCTGCTACCACTGCGGCGAGGCCGGGCACACATACTGTTGTTGCCAGTACCGACAGATGGGACTGCGTGGCTTCGCTATTAATGCACCGCGTCCGCAGCCAGGAGATCGGCCACGTGGCATCGCCGACTACCTGACAGGAACTCCATGGACACTACGAAGTCCTTCCCGTTCGCCGTCGCCCAGCCGCCGCATGTCAGCGCACCCCCTGCAGTACTCTGGCCCAACGCGGGGCCGGTCTCCTAGCCCGTATCCAGGAAACTAAGGGCAGCAACCGATGGAGGTGCGGTTGCTGTGCGACGAACTACCGAAAATCCTCCGACGACGACAACACTGCGACGGAGCTTTCCGAACACAATGCCAACCAGGCAAAGCCCTGACGGCAAAAGCTCACTTACCGAAGGTGGCCGGACGACGCAACATGGGAGCAGCGGAACAAGCCGACGCAGCCGTGACCCGACGCCATGCCCTAACTGTAACGCAAGACGGCGAACTAGCGACCTCGACGTTCTTATCGACGGCCACAGTGTGACCGCTCTCGTCGACACTTGAGCCGACTATTCGGTCATCAGTGAGTCGTTCGCCGCGAAGTTAAAGAAAGTTAGGACGGCTTGGGAAGGCCCTGAAATCCGCACAGCCGGAGGTCATCTCGTAACGCCTGCAGGAATCTACACAGAGAGAGTCACCATTAACGGCCGTATTTATCCTACAGACTTCGTAGTCCTACAGCGTTGCTCGAGAGATGTCATCCTTGGTATGGACTTCTTATGCCTCCATGGTGCTGTCATCAACCTAAGAACAAAGTCGATAACGTTATCCACGAAAGAAGCACTACCGCCAGGTACGCCGTCAAGAAATTATGCCTTGAATGTGCTGGAAGAACAAGTCACCATTCCGCCTCGCTCCAGCGTCATTATTTCAGTCGGCGCTCCTAAATCACCTGACCTGGAAGGCGTCGTTGAAGGCAGTCAGCATCTGTTGGTCACCCGAAATATTTACGTCGCAAGAGGAATTGCAGAGCTCTGGGGAGGCAAAGCAATGATTATGCTAACGCATTTCAGCAATGAGTACAAACATGTGAACAAAGAAACAACGGTCGCATACATCGAAGAAATTGTGGATGCCACCAGTGCTTTCGCCCTCGCCGATTCTGCGGAACCTGCTCAGAGAAACCAAGCCCCTCTCACAGCTTTCGACACCAATCCCAGACTTCCGAACCATAAGCAAGAACAGCTCAAGGCCCTGCTCCTGCAATACGAAGATTGCTTTTCCTCGTCATCAAAAATTCGGCAGACCCCAATCACGAAACATCGCATCATAACCGAAGAAAATGCCAGACCACTCCGTCAGAGTCCGTACAGGGTTTCGACGCAAGAACGTGAGGCCATGAAGAGACAAGTTGATGAAGTGCTACGGGATGACATCATCCAGCCATCCAAGAGTCCATGGGCGTCCCCCGTGGTGTTAGTGAAGAAAAAGGATAGAACCCTACGTTTCTGCGTCGATTATCGCCGCCTGAACAAAATCACAAGAAAGGATGTGTATCCTCTCCCACGAATAGACGACGCACTTGATCGGCTCCATAACGCCAAGTACTTTACGTCAATGGACCTCAAGACTGGCTACTGGCAAATCGAAGTCGACGAAAGAGACCGAGAGAAGACGACGTTTATAACACCGGATGGCCTCTTCGAGTTTAAGGTGATGCCCTTCGGCCTTTGCTCAGCGCCTGCAACTTTTCAACGCGTTATGGATATCGTACTGGCAGGATTGAAGTGGCAGACTTGCCTTGTGTACTTGGACGTCGTCGTCATGTTTTCCTCGAGTTTTGACGAGCATCTTCGGCGCCTTGAAGCTGTACTTAGCCATCAAGATGTCCGGACTCACACTGAAGCCAGAAAAGTGCAGATTTGCGTACGAAGAGCTCTTGTTTCTGGGGCACGTGATTACCAATTCTGGAGTCCGTCCCGATCCACGGAAAACAGCCGCCATCGCCGACTTCCCGCCGCCCACTGACAAGAAGGCGGTGCACCGATTTCTGGGCCTGTGCGCCTCTTATAGGCGGTTCGTGAAAAACTTCGCCCGCATCGCCGATCCCCTCACTAACCTTACCAAGGCCGACGTGGAGTTCAAGTGGGAAACGCCGCAGGAACACGCTTTCCAGGAGCTTAAACATCGCCTTCAGACGCCTCCGTTACTTGCTCATTTCGACGAATTCGCCGAGACAGAAATACACACTGACGCAAGCAGCGTAGGTCTTGGCGCCGTTCTTGTGCAGAAGGCTGACGGACTTGAAAGGATTATTAGTTACGCCAGCCAATCGCTATCCAAAGCAGAAGCCAATTATTCCACAACCGAAAAGGAGTGCCTCGCCATCATCTGGGCTACGTCGAAATTTCGCCCCTACCTCTACGGCAGGCCCTTCAAAATTGTGAGGGACCACCACGCCTTGTGTTGGCTAGCCACCTTGAAGGACCCTTCAGGTCGCCTCGCACGATGGAGCTTGGGACTTCAAGAATATGACATTACCGTCGTTTACAAGTCCGGCAAGAAACACTCTGACGCCGACTGTCTCTCTCGTGCGCCTGTCGACCAACCACCACCTGACAACCCGGATGACGACTACTTCTTGGGAACGATAACTACCGACGACTTCGCTGAACGACGGCGGGCCGACCCGGAACTTAAGGCCCTAATAGAATACCTCGAAGGCAGGACCGCCGAAGTCCCAAGGGTATTCAAGCGCCCACTTGCGTCGTTCTTCCTGCGAAACGGTCTTCTCCAAAAGAAAAACTTTTCACCGCTTCGAGCCAAGTACCTCCTTGTGGTGCCTTCAGCTCTGCGACCAGAAGTCCTGCAGGCCCTGCACGACGATCCAACAGCAGGGCACCTCGGTGTTTCTCGCACGCTCGTGAGGATACAAGAAAGGTACTATTGGCCACGTCTTACCACCGACGTCACCTGTTATGTGAGGACATGCCGGGACTGTCAACGACGCAAGACACCACCGACAAAGCCGGCGGGACTTCTAAAGCCAATTGAACCACCTCACCGACCTTTCCAGCAGATTGGTATGGACCTACTGGAGCTGTTCCCGACGTCGGATTTTGGAAACAAATGGATC